CCCACGTAGAAGAAGCACCCCAGCCTATGTGATCACTAGGTGTCGAAGAGATAAGGTATCAGGCATCAAAGAACAAAAAATAAAATCATTGTGAATGAAGGGGAGCACAGATTGGGTACCCAAGACTCATCTGTAGGCAACTGGACATCTCCTTACAGAAGGGTCGCAGAGAGGAGACTAGCCAGTCACTGTGCAGTGTAGCAACGATGAAATATACAACTTCCCTCTAGTTCCTAAATGCTTCCTTCCCCCTCATGATCATGATTCCAATTCTATCTTACAAATCTGGCTAGACCAGTGGTACAGATAGGAACTGGAAGCACAGGGAATCCAGGACAGATGATCCCTTCAGGACCAGTGCTGAGAATGGAGATACCAGGAGGGTGGAGGGAGGGTGGGGTGGAAAGGGGAAATGGATGACAAGGAACTACATATAACCTCCTCCCTGGGGGATGGACAGGGGAAAGGTGGGTAAAGGGATATACCATATGGTGTAAGATATGACAAAATATAATAATTTATAAATTATCAAGGGTTCATGAGGGAGGGTGGAGCAGGGAGGGAGGGGAGAAATGAGGATCTAATACCAGGGGCTCAAGTGGAAAGAGAATGTTTTGAGACTGATGATGGTAGCAAACGTGCTTGACACAATGGATGTATGTACGGATTGTGATGAGTTGTACAAGCCTCCAATAAAATGATTTTTTAAAATCATTTTAAGGGCTCTAGAATGCAAATGTTTTGAGAATGATGAGGGCAACAAATGTACAAATGTGCTTGACACAATGGATGTATACATGGATTGTGATAAGAGTTGTAAGAGCCCCCAATAAAATGATTTAAAAAATTTATTAGGGGCACTTACAGCTCATAACAATCCACACATCGATTGTGTCAAGCATATTTGTACTACTGCCATCATCCTTTTACAAACATTTTCTTTTTACTTGAGCCCTTGGTATTCTTTCAGGCCTTATGTAGAAATATATTTTTATGACTCCCCACTACCTATAGTGAAGTAATCAAGTGCAATATTAGCAATGAAAACTCAGTTTTAAAACTCATTGTTTAAGTAGATATGGAATAATTAAAATACTCCTAATAGTGAGCAGTATTATAAGGTATATTTGTTTGATTGATTAAGAGCTCA